GGGCAGGGGGCAGGGGGCGGGACTCAAACCTGCCTCTGGGCTGGAGTGGGGGATGCCACCTGTTATTGTTCTACTTAGAGGAGTTGGGGGGCAGATGTAACTTTGGTGCTGCAGGTAGCTTGGGAAGGTTCTCATGGTATAGTCATCTGTCACTTCCATTCTGCTGAGTCAGGCTGGAGGGAGGTGCTGGGTGACTGAATGTCCTATCCCTGGCCTCACCTTGAGCCCTTATCTGATTTCCCTTGGCATTGCTCAGGCGCTGAAGGTGCACCAGGATGTGAACTGCCTGACAGATTTCCTGGGGGAATGTGAGGAGCAACTGAAGGCATTGAAGAAGCTCAAGAAGAGTGAGAGGGGCCTTCTGTATGGGGTCCCCATGAGTCTCAAGGACGTTTATGACTGCAAGGTGAGCCCTGGGGTGTACTTGCACAGGTGTACGTATATGTGTGGGTGCACATGTGCCACTGAGCCTGTGAGCATCTGAATATGTGACATGGGGCAAGTTACTCAATCCAGGATGCACAGCTAGAAAGTGGCCAACTGGGACTGAACCCAGCAGTTGGGTTCAAACCCAAACCCAAACTCTTAACCATGTTCTTCTGCCACCTGTGAATCCCCCTAAGGTGCAGCACTTGTGTCTCAGGGGATGTGGGAGTGAATGTGAGTGGGGGTTGAGTGGGGATGAGTCTGTTCACTGGGTGATTCTACCCTGACCCCAAGGACTGGAGTTAATGTCACTTTCCTGCAGGGTCATGACTCTACGTGTGGCTTGGCGCAGTTCCTGGAGAAGCCAGCGGCCAAGGACGGGGTTGCTGTGAAAGTGCTGAAGGCCCAGGGAGCTATTCCCTTTGCTAAGACCAACATCCCCCAGACACTGCTCAGGTCTCTGAAGTGGGCAGGTTGGATTGGGGCCGGGGAGGGGCCAGGGCTGGGGCCCGGCTGGGGCTGGGCCCAGGACTGAAACAGCAACTTAACGTCTTGATTCAGAGCAGAGGGTGAGGTGGGAGCCAGTCATGCAGATCTCAAGGACTGAGGTTCTTGGGCAAGTCTTTGTGTCCTCTGAGCCTCAGTTTCCTCTTCGTGTGTGGCTTTCATGATCTCTAAGGGCTCGGAGGTTCTGAAAAGTTTCATCTCTGTTTCTCTCCAGTCATCTGTCCTTAATTGTTCTTCTCGTCCCCTATCCTCTCTCCTCCCCATTCAACCTTTAGTATATCCATTTAAAAAAATCAGTTTGAGAGAGAGAAAGAGAAACACCGATGTGAGAGAGAAGCATAGGTCAGTTGCCTCCTGTATACACCCTGATTAGGGATCAAACCTGAAACCTGGGTATGTGCCCTGACCAGGAATTGAACCAGCGACCTCTTGGTGAGTGGGACTACACTCAACCAACTGAGCCACATTAGCTGGGGCTAACATGTACATTTTTGTGAGGTCCCTGTTCCCAGTTCTGACAGCAGAGCTGTGGGCTCCTTGCTCCATAATTTAGGAGGTATGATTGGTATCTGCTATGAGTCTTTCCTGCAGCAGTGGCTTCTCACCTCAGCCAAAAGGGGAGCAGGAGGCCTCAGTCTCTGGGAGGAGCCCATGGGTTGAAGCAGCCTTTGGGCTGACTCCTGAGGGTGGTCGGACTCTATGTGGGGAAGGAGCAATCTTCCCCAGTTAAACCTTCCCCTCCCAACCCCTTTTTTCTGCTTCTCCTAGCTTTGACTGCAGCAACCCCATCTATGGACAGACTCTGAACCCTTTGAACTTAAAGAAGACCCCTGGAGGGTCCTCGGGAGGTGAAGCAGCTCTGCTAAGCAAACGGGGTTCCATCCTGGGCATGGGTACTGACACAGGGGGCAGCATCCGCCTCCCATCCAGCTTTTGTGGTGTCTATGGCCTCCGGACCACAGGAAACCGCATCAGGTACTCAGTGGTGGTACTGGTGTGTGTGGGGGGGGCGGGGTAGTAGTG